TCTCTCTCTCTCTCTCTCTCTCTCTCTCTCTCTCTCTCTCTCTGTGTTTAGCCATCCTGGGATATATGAGACCCTGTCTTAACCGTACACCCCTAAAAAATATAAATACAATTTTGAAGTCTTAAGACAGTCAGCAATGCATGGAAACATTAAAAAACACGTTAGTGTTTAGTTGTATAAGGCATTAAGAGTTTTATGCATATTGTCTTATTGACACCTACAAGAATTCTTCAAATAAGAACTATAGTTATCGCCATTTTATAGGCAGGGAAAGATGCTTACTAGGGTTAAATAACTTTCCCATGTCTTTTTTTTCCCTCAAAGAGTCACTATGTATCTCTGGTGACCCTGGAACTGGGATTAAAGGCATGCACCACCACACCCAGCTCCTTTGTTTTTTTTTTTAATTTTTATTTATTGTTTTTATGTGTATGCCTGTGTTGCCTGCATGTAGGTAAGTGCACCCATGTCATGCAGGTCAGAAGAGGCTGTCGGATCCCCTGGGACTGGAGTTATGGACAGTTATTAGCTGCCATGTGGGTGCTGGGATTCAAACCCCGGTCTTCTGCAAGAACAACCAGTGTTCTTAACCACTGAGCCATCTCTCCAGCCCGCCCCCCTTTTTTTAAACAACAAAAACCAAAGCAAAGCAAAGCAAAGCAAAACAACAAACCAGTTTCCTAAGTAGCCTAAGCTGGCCTGGAAGTTGCAGTCCTCCTGTTTTAGCCTCCCTAGTGCAGGAATTACAGTTATATGCCACTGAGTGTCTAACATGCCCAAGTCTATACAGGCATTTGACACCAAAGCCAGGAGGACTTTTACCAAACCACACTACCTGGATGTTGGAGACATCTGGCAGGAAGTGAAAGAATTTAAGACTTGGTGACCAGAGAGGATAATATAAGAGGGATGGTATTCTGTAAATTTAAAAGTAGCTGTATTTGCCAGGCATGGTGGCACACGCCTTTAATCCCAGCACTCGGGAGACAGAGGCAGGCAGATTGGGCATCTAAGGCACAGCAGGCTCCTGAGTGGGTCACACATTTCCTCACAATTTGGCAAGGTAATCCAATATCATTCCCATTTTACAAATGAGAAAACAAGGCTGGAGGTAGCTGCTGTACTGGAGAGGTACCAGCTGGACTCATTAGGTTCCCCTTTCAGTTTGGCACCTTTCTCTCCTAGCTGAGGACTCACTGCTAGTTGGAGAAGGACTAAGTGAAGACTGAAGAGAAAAGCTAGCTTGCCATGTTCTGCCTACTTGCCTAACTGAGCTCTTGTCTTTAAATTGCTTGTGGTTGGCTCTGAAACATAAAATACTGTCTAACAGTTGAGGAAAACATGCTGGGAAAAGTGAATGCTTTTGACTACCTGCTGATGTAGGGCACCTAAAATACTTTAAAATATTGGAGAAAAATTTAATCCATTTGAAAAGAGTCACATCATCAATTAGCATGGGAAAAATGAGTCTCAAGTAAAAAAATTATTTTTTAAAACATTAAGCCAGGCATCGTGGCACATGCCTTCAATTCTAGCACTCAGTAGAGACAGTTGGAGTTCCAGGCTAGCCAGGGCTACAGAGTGAGATCTTGTCTCCAAAAAAATGTTAAGATACAGCCTAAGGGTTAGAGAGGTGGCTCAGTGCTTAAGAGTTCTTATTGCTCTTGCAGAGGACCCATGTTCAGTTTCCAGCATCCATATCAGGCAGCTTGAACTGCTTGTAATGCCAATTTCAGGGGATCCAACACCTCTTCTGGACTCAAAGGACACCTGTACATACATGGTATACATAAACACATGCAGGCACACATATACACATAAAAATAAAATCTTTAAAAAAATAAAATATAGCCTGGATTGGGAATAATTTTTTTTTTTGAGACAGGGTCTCCTTGTAGCCCCAGCTGTCCTGGAACTCACTATATAGACCAGGCTGGCCTCGAAGAGAATAATTTTTTACTATACCCCAAAGATCAATTCTAGGTCAATTAAATATGAAATATTTACTGCTGCGCTAAACAACAGAAGCAGAATTATTAGGGTCAGATCACTTAGTTTACTTCCTTTTTTATGATGGGGGTGGTGCAAGGTCTGTGTAGCCCTAGCTGACCTGGAAGTCACAGAGATCTGCCTGCTTCTGCTGAGATTAAAGAAATGTGCCACCATGCCCAGCTATTGGTTGGCTTCTTAAATAGCTGTGTGATTTCTGCAAGTGTGTTTATTCTACTTTTCTTTCTGTTGCTGTGATTTATCTGACAAAAAGTATTTTAGGGGAGGAAATGGTTTTATTTGGTGTCAGTCCATCACTGACAGAAGTCAGGGCAAGAATTCAAGCTGAAACTTGGAGCAGAAGCCATGGAAAAACACTGCTTGCTGCTGTCTCCCTCACAGGCTCGTGTTTAGCTTTTTTGGTTTTTTTTTTTTTTTTTCTGTCTTTTTGAGACAGGGTCTCTCTGTAGCCCCAGCTGTCCTGGAACTCACTATGTAGACCAGGCTGGCCTTGAACTCACAGAGATCCGCCTGCCTCTGCCTCCCAAGTGCTGGGATTAAAGACATGCGCCACCACGCCCAGCTCAATATTTTATTATGTGTACGCATGTATTGCCCGCACATAGGTAAGTGCACCCGTGTCATGCAATGCCTGCAGAGGACAGAGGGGGCCTTTGGATCCCCTGGAACTGGAGTTAGGAACAGTCGTCAGCTACCATGTGGGCACTGGGATTTGAACCTGGGTCTTCTACAACAACAACCAGGGTTCTTGACCGCTGAGCCATCTCTCCAGCCTATTGTTTTGTTTTTTGATACAGGGTCTCCTTGTAGACCCACCTGGCCTGGAAATGGCTATGTAGACCAGGCTAGCCTTGATCTCACAGAGATCCACCTGCCTCTAACTCTACCTCCCAAATGCTGGGATTAAAGCCATGCATCATCACACCCAGGTCCCTTAGCTAGCTTGCTCGCTTATTTATTTATTTATTTATTTATTTATTATTTATATAATCTTTTTGAGGTAGGGTCTCCCAGGAGCCCCAGGGTCTCCCTGTAGTCCCAGTCTTCCAAGTGCTGGGATTAAAGGTGTGTGCCGCCAGCTTAGCTAGCCCAGTACCACTTGCCTAAGAAATGGTGCCACCCACTGTGGGCTGGGTCCTCTTACTCAATTATTAAGACAACCTCACAGACATGCCATGCCCACAGGCCAATCTGATCTAGAAGATTCTTCTCATGAGGCTTTCCTTTTCAGATAACTTTAGGCTTTGTCAAGTTGAGAAAGCTAGCTAAGGGATTGGAGAGACAGCTTGTGGTTAAGAGTTCTTGCTGCTCTTCCAATGGACCTGTCTTTGGTTCCCAGAACCCAGATCAGACAGCTCATAACTGCCTTTAACTCCAGCTCCAGGGGAACCAACAACCTTTCTGAGGCTTCTGAGAAAACCCACATACATGTGGCATATACATATATAGATACAGCACATTAAAAAAAAAAAAAAGCTAACCTGGACAGTATTTGCATCACTTCTAAAATGGGGACAGCAGCACCTATGTTAAAGGGGTGTTGTGAGATAAGTGAAGAGAACCTATTAACTGTTGTATATGCCCTGTAATAGTCATTATTTTTTTTCTTTTTTTTTTTTTCCAAGACAAGGTCTCCTTAGCTCCAACTGGCCTGGAACTATGTGGACCAGGCTGGCCTTGAATTCACAGAGATCTGCCTGCCTCTGCCTCCCTGCTGGGATTAAAGGATGCACCACCATGTCCAGCAATAGTCATTATTATTATTGACAAAGGATCTCAAAAGCCCCAGGCTGGCTTGGAACTCAATAGGCAGCCAAGGATGACCTTGAACTTCTGATCTTGAGGCTTATAACTACCAAGAGTTGGGATTAGAGGCATTTGTAACCACACCATTTATGCAGGTGCTACGGATTAAACCCAGGGCTTCATGCATGCTAGGCAAGCACTCTACCAACTGAGCTACAGCTCCAGTCCCCATAATATCCTATCATAATGCATACTAAAATCTTCAGGGTAGTCTATAACAATTGGTAAAATTCTTTCTTGTAGAACATCCTATCTTGGGTCTCCCCAGTTTGTTGTTGTGATTTGTATTTGTGTGTGTGTGTGTGTGTGTGTGTGTGTATGTGTGAATGTGCATGTGTGTACACATGTAAAGGCAAACATCAGGTGTAATTCTTCAGCATATTTATGTGTATGGGTGTTTTGCCTTCATGTATGAATATCCACCACATTCCTGCCTGGTAACAGAGAAGGCCAGAAGAGGATGTTGGATCCCCTGGAACTCCAGTTGCAGACTGCTGTGAGCAGCCATGTGGGTGCTGGGAACTGAATCTGGGTACTCTGCCAGAGCAGCAAGTGCTCTCAACCACTGAGCCATCTTTCTAGTCCTGTACTTTGTTTTTTTGTGATAGTGTTTTTCACTTACCTGGAACTCATTAAATAGGATAGGCTGGCTGGCTAGCAAGCCATAGGGATTCATTTGTCCCCACCTCCCAAGCCCTGGGATTATGTATGTGGCCACTACACCCAGTTTGTTTTTTTTTTTTTTGTTTTTTTTTTGTGGGGCAGGGGTTTGAGACAGGGTTTCACTATGTAGCCCTAGATGGCCTAAAACTAACAGAGTTCTGCCTATCTCTGTGATAAAAGGCATGCACTACCATGTCCAACTATGCTCAGCTTTTTTTTTTGTCTTTTTGAGACAGGGTCTCCCTGTAGCCTCAGCTGTCCTGGAACTCACTACATAGCCCAGGCTGGCCTTGAACTCACAGAGATCTGCCTGCCTCTGCCTCCCGAGTGCTGGGATTAAAGGCATGTGCCACCATGCCCGGCTTGATGCTCAGCTTTTTTATATGAGTTTTAGGGATTGAACTCAGGTCTTCATGCTTGAGTTGCAAGCACTTTACAGTATAAGCCATCTCCTCAGACCTGTCATCTTTTCTTTACACTGAAGAGCCCAAATATTTGTGAATTGGAAACCAGTTACCATGGTAACTAGGAAAAAAACCCAGAAGTTAAAATGCATTCTTGCTGTTCTCTTTTAATTGAAAACCCTAAAAAGGCATACCCACTTGGAGATTACTTACTTAATAATTAACTAATAAGGAAAAGATAGAAGCAGTAAACTTAAGCACTGTCAAAAGTCCTGTTGACCAACATGGAGGACCACAGTTGCAGCTGGAAAGTGAAAATACTTTTAGCAGGTCCTTTAGGCTTCCTGTGGAAAACAAGATAGAAAAAAAATCAATTATTCTCTCAAGTCTTAGAATGACCACTAGAAGTTAAAGTTCTCTCTCTTTTAAGACAGTGTCTCATTCTAGCCCAGGCTGGTCTGGAACTATAAATTCCAGGCTGGACTCCACCTCTTGGTCCTCCTGTCTCTGGCTTCTGAATGAAAGGATATAAGCCAAAACCAATAGTCCAAGCATGCTTTTTGTTGTTGTTTTGTTTAGTTTTTGAGCCAGGGTCTCCCTGTAGCCCCAGCTGGCCTTGAACTCTCAGACATCCATCTGCCTCTGCCTCCCAAGTGCTGGGATTAAAGGTGAGGGTCACCACACCCAAGTCTTGTTTTTGTTTTTTTGAGCCTGTCTCCCTGTAGTCCCAGTTGGCGTGGAACTCACTAAGTAGAACAGGCCTTGATCTCACTGAGATCTGCCTGCCTCTACTTCCTGAGTGCTGGGATCAATGGTGTAGATTGCCATGCATTATTATTATTATTATTATTATTATTATTATTATTATTATTTTTGAGATAGGTTCTCACCAATTATGGTGGCACATGCCCAGTAGGTTACACTGAAGAGACAGGAAGATCTGGACACAGGGTCTCATGTACCCCAGGTTGGCCTCAAACTTGCTATGTAACCAAAGATAACCTTGAATTTTTGGTCCTCTTGCCTCTACCACCTAAAGGCCAAATTATTTTTGTTTTTTGAGACAAGGTCTCTCACCAATCCCCCCTCCCCCAAACAACACCCACCCAGGGCCTGGCACTCCTTATATAGACCAGGCTGGCCTTGATCTCATAGAGATCTGTTAGCCTCTTCCTCCCAAGTGCTGCCGACACTACCATCTTGAACTTGAAAAATGTGTATGTTGTATACAAGTGCTATTGGAGACCAGAAAAGAGAGTCACATACCCTGGAGCTGGGGTTTTAGGTGATTGTGAGCCCCCTGAAGTGGGTTCTGGGAATTGAATTAGGGTCCTCTGGAAGAGCAGTATGTGCTCTTAACTGAGCTGGGTCTGGTCGCAGTGACATGTAATCCCAGCCCGGGAGAGGCTAATGCAGAAGGAGTGCCACAAGCTGGAGGCCAGCCTAGGCTACAACAGTGAACAAAATCAAATCAAACAAAGCAACACAGCAGGACATTGTGGCCTGTGCCTGTAATTCCAGGACTTGGGATGTGGAGGCAGGATGATCAGGAGTTCAAGGCCAGCCTCTGCTACATATTTAGTTTAAGGCCAGCCTAGCTACAGGAGACTGTGTTAAAAAACAGAAAAAGTGGGGTACTGTACTGCACGTCTGTCATGTCACCACTTGCAAGGTGGAGGCAGAAGGCTCAGGAGTTCGAGGTCCGGCCTGAGCCACAAGAGACTAACTATCTCAAACAAAACAAACAGGGGCCGGTCAGTGCGTACCGGCTCAAGCGAGGCGCGTGAGCGGCCGAGGCTGTAGCTGGCGCTGGCGCCGCTTGCGCTGCCCGTTGATCAGCGTCTGCGCCACCTTGCGCTCGTGGCCGCCGGGCACCGGCCGGCTGGTGCGCAGCTGCTGCTCGCGCCGCGTCCGGCCCTTGCTGCGTCCAGCCCCGGAGGCCGGGAAGTCGCGCAGGTAGTAGTAGTCCAGGCAGTCGTACAGCTCCTCCTGAAGGCTGGCGGATAACAGCGCCTCAGGTGGCGGGAGGCTGGTCCGAACCAGTGCTTGGGAGCCCGAGGGACGAGCCTCCGGGTCCATCGCGCCTGCGCGCTGGGCTCCCCGGCACCACTGCTCCGGGGCTGAGAGGCCCCGCCCCGTGCTCCCATTGGCTCCACCGTTGAGGTGGGGGTTGTGCCTGTGACAGCACAGAGGGTGGGGCCCCTCGCTGGAGGCGTCTGTTTCAGATAGGGAATGTGGCCCCTGCTTAGTTAATAGAGTATGTTGTTCTGGCGTGGTGGCTCTCGGGAGGCAGAGGCAGATGTGTCTCTCTGAGTTCGAGGTCAGCCTGGCCAACTTAGCGAGCTACATGGTGAGACCATGTCTCAAAAAAGAAAAGCTAGAGACGGGACTTAGGGGTGTGGCTCAGTGGATGAAGTGCTTGTGTAGCATACCTGAAGCCCCGAGTTCCATCCCCAGCCCCGTACAAACTAGATGCGGTGGCGCATGCCTGTGACAATATCAGCACTCCAGAGGCGGGGTCAGGAGAATAAGAAGTTCAAGGTCATCCTTATTTACATGGTGACTTCTGAAACCAGCCTGGACCATGTGAAACCCTGTTTCTAAAAAAGAATTGAGTCGGGCGTGGTGGCACACGCTTTTAATTCCAGCACTCAGGAGGCAGAGGCAGGCGGGTATCTGTGAGTTAAGCCAGTCTCTGTTCAAGGCCAGCCTGGGCTACATAGTGAGTTCCAGGACAGCTGGGGCTACAGGGGAAAAAAAAAAAAAAAAAAAAAAAAAAAAAATAGAAATGGAGAGACTGAAGAGATGGCTCACCTTAAGAGTACTGGCTACTCTTACAGAGGGCCCAAGTTCAGTTTCCAGCACCTACATGGCAGCTAACAACTGTCCCTAACTCCAGTTCCAGGGGATCCAACACTTTCTTTGAGCCTCTGCTGGCATTGCATGCATATACTTAGATACAAACATGCAAAGTATTCATACACATGTATGTAAGTGCACCTATGTCATGCAATGCCTGTAGAGGCCAGAGGAGGGTGCTGATCAGAAGAGGTTGAGGATTCCCTGGAACTGGAGATAGGAACCTTTGTTAGCTGCCATGTGGGTGCTGGCAATTGAACCCAGGTCCTCTGCAAGAACAGCCAGTGCTCTTCATCACTGAGCCATCTTTCCAGCTCCATTTTTAAAAATACTGTATTATGATACATTTAAAAAAAAAGAATTGAGGGGATCAGGTGAGGTGGCTCAGGCCTTTAATCCCAGAATTTGGGAGGCAGAGATAGGTGAATCTCTATGGGTTCCAGGCCAGCCAGCGCTATAAAGACCTTGAAAAAAAGAAGGAGGAGGAGGAGGAAGAAGAAGAAAAGCAGAAGAAGAGGAGGAAGAGGAGGAGGAAGAAGAGAAGGAAAGGAAGAGGAGGAAGAAGAAGAGAGGAGGAAGAGGAAGAAGAATTATTTTAATAAAAACAGTCTCTGATAGATTGCTAAACAAACTGTGGAAATTGAAACCATGCCTGGTTCCATATGCATACATCCTGCACCCAACAGTCTTGAGTTTGGCAAAATATGGAGCCTTAAATTTACAGAGCTTGGGTCGTTGAACGGGTCTCCTATATTAAAACCGACACACCCAGGTCTCAGGGACCATTGAGGAAGAGGGGGCAGAAAAATTGTAAGAACCAGGGAGATAGTGCATGATCATACAGAAATAGAGTCCTACAGGCTCCTGGGGGCTCTTATATGAATCTATGGCAGTGGCGTCAGTATGCACAAGACCCATGCAAACTCAAGCAGACAGAAACCCAGCACAGAACTGTGGAAATGGACAGCAGGCCCCAATCTTAGTGAATGTGCTGGATAGCTTTAGTGTAGACTTGACACATCTGGGTTGACGGAGCCTCAGTTGGGGAATTTCCTTTTTTGGACTGTCCTGTGGCCAAGTCTGTGGGGTATCTTCTTGATTATTGAGTCTGTGGGAGGGCCAAGCCTACTGTGGGTGGTGACACCCTTGGGCAGGTGGACCTGTATGGTATAAGAAAGCAGGCTGACGAAAGAAATTCACATGTCAAAGTCACAGAGAAAAAATTTTAAAAATTAAAAAAAAAGAAAGCAGGCTGAGGATGGGCCGGGGGAGCAAGCCAGTAAGCAGCCTTCCTCCATGGCTTGTGCTCCAGCTTCTGACTTCAGGCTCCTGCCCTGAATTCTTACCTTGGGCTCCCTGATGAACTGTGACCTGGGAGATGTAAGCCAAATCATTTCCTCCCCAAGTTGGTCATGGTCAGAGTGTTTTGTCACAGCAATGGAGAAACAAACTAGGACAGTCGAAGAATTATTGACAACTGATTACTGCTGGGTGAGGAAGAGCTGATCTTTAAGGGAGAGACTCTAGATAGGCTGACCTAGACCTCAGTGGATGAAATTGCACTGAGGGACAACTGGGGACACTAACTTGACATGATAGGCCTTAACACAAATGACAGAATGTATGAATTCCATTGGGAGGGGGCTATGGGAGGGGGCCGATGGAGAGGGGGTATAAAGATGATTAAGATGTTCTGTGTGAAATACACACAAATAAATAAAATGTATTAAAAAAAACTCTTACATAATCTGAGACTGGAAGATTCCTGCAAGTTTGAGGCCAGCCAGGGCTACATAGTGACACTTTGTCTGCAGAGTTGATGCATGTTTAAGTCTCTTGGGAGGAGACATGGCCTTAATTCCTGGAGGAGTGTATAGTTACTTTTCTCAGCACTGTAATCGACTTCCTGACAAGAAACATTTTAAGAAAGGAGGGTTTATTTTGGCTCCCGGTTTGAAGATACAGTCAATCTTAGCTGGAAAGGTATGGTTGCAGGATCGGGGCTGCTAACACATCTGGGCTGACCAATCAGGAAGCAGAGATAGTGGCATTCCAATTCCCATCTTGCTTTTTCTTTCTGGAGTTTTGTTGTCTTTTTGAGACAGGGTCTCCTTGTAGCCCCAACTGACCTGGAACTCACTGTGTAGACCAAGCTGGCCTTGAACTCTCAAAGATTCCCCTGCCTCTGCCTCCCAAGTGCTGGGATTAAAGGTGTGTGCCACCAAGCCTGGCTTGCTTTCTGGAATTTTATTCAGTCCAGGCCGCTGACCTAATGGAGGGTGTTGCTTACCTTCAGAGTGAGTCTTCCCTCCTCAGTTAATTCTCTCTAGAAACTCCCTCAACAAAAGCGTGCCTCCTAAATTGACAAGGAAGACTAAGCATCACAAGTAGCATGTAAAAAAAAAGCCTTAGAAGCAAACATGCAAGGAGAGACTATTGAACAGACCTGCCCCACGCTCATTTAGGGACAGAAGCTAAAAATGCTGAGATCAGATGTCCTTCATCTGTCATTTATTCTCCCAGCAGCAGAGAAAGTAGAAAGGACAAGGACTTGTGGTGGGAGGGTGTAGGGGGGCAGGGGAAACATGGAAAACCAGCTGTTGGATGATGGCTCTGGTGTTCTTGCCCCCTGCCCCAAGGGCTCCTGAAATACACCATTCAAGGATCCCAGAATTGTCAATACAAAGCTTGCTCTGGGAATAGGAATTAAACCTCTCGGGTCATTGGGTTCTTTTGGGACCTTTGATTTGTGAACAAGTGGTATGTATGGCCAGGCATAGTGGCTTACACCTGTAAGTGCACCACATTCGTGCCTGGTGCGCATCAAAGCTAGAAGAGGGGGGGAACTTGTGTTACAGATAGTTGGGTGCCACCATGTGGATGCTGGGAATTGAACCTCAGTCCTGTGCAAAAGCAAGTGCTTTTTTAAAAAAATATTTTATATTATTTTTATTTTATGTGTATGAGTGTATTGCCTGCATGTATGTGAGTGCACCCGTGTCGTGCAATGCCGCGGAGGTCAGAAGAAGGCATCGGATTCTCCTGGAACCGGAGTTAAGGACAGTTTGTAGCAACCATGTGGGTGCTGGGAATCGAACCCAGGTCCTCTGCAAGAACCGTCAGTGCTCTTAACCGCTGAGCCATCTCTCCAGCCTTTCAAGTGCTTTTTTCTTTTTTTAAAAAAAATACTATTTTTATGTGTATGAATGTAGTGCCTGCATCTATATAAGTGTACCAGTGTCCTGCAATGCCTGCAGAGGTCAGAGGATGGCATCGGATCTGGTTGTTAGCCACCACGTGGATGCTGAGAATTGAACTTGGGTCTTCTGTAAGAGCAGCCAGTGCTTAACTGGCTGTGCTATCTCTCCAGCCCAAGAGCAGCAAAGTGCTTTTAACTGCTGAGCCATCTCTCCAGCCTCCTCCTCTCCTCTCCTCTCCTCTCCTCTCCTCTCCTCTATATTCTAAGGCTTGGAGTCCAGAAGCTCCACTGGCAGCCAAGACAGCCCCATGTCTCAGTGATGAGGAAAAGCGATAAGGTACTCACAGTTCCTCCACACCACACATGCCCTCCTTTCAGGTATGCACATGCAAGTGCACATACATATGCATGTGACTGTGTGCATGTTCCATCCCCTTCCCTCTCCTCCCCTCCCCTCCCCCCTCTCTTTCTCTCTCTGTGTCCTCTTTTTCCCTCTCTCCCTCCCTTTCTCCCTCTTTCCCTCTCTCTCTCCCTCTCTCCATCTCCATCTCCCTCTCTCTGTCTTCTCCTCTCTCCTCTCTTTTTGATACAAAAATCTTGCTATGTAGCCCAGGCTAGCTTTAAACACATAATCCCTCTGCCTCAGCATCTCCAGCGCTAAATACTTTTATTATTTCTTTTCCATTTCTTTTTCCAGTTCTGAGAGTTAGATATAGGACTTTGTGCTTTATACAAGTCACTGTTCTACATCCTCAGCCTGCTAAACATTTAAAAAATTATTTAAAACATTTTTTTCTTATGTATGTGTGTATATATATATATATATATATATATATATATGAGTAATGGTGCATGAGAGCCATGGTGTGCATGTGGAGGTGAGAGAACAATTTTGGGAGTTGGTTCCCACCTCCTTCCCTGCTCAGTCAGGGTCTTGAGCTGTTTTTGCTTCTGTGCTGAGTCCCCCAGGCTAGATGGTCAGAAAGCTTCTGGGCAATTCGTCTCTGACTCCCATCTCACTGTAGGAGTGCTGGGATT